TATGAAATTTTTATTTATTTAGTGGGTATATTTAAAAAATTGCGAATTTCAAAGCATTAGCGTCTTTTTTGTTGACAGTTTTTTTATATTATTAACATTATTTCTTGTGAAACTTAATTAAATCGCAGTTCACAAAATTGCTGAGTGTCTTCGAGATAGTAAGAACAGAAGTAGTAGAAAATTGCTATCTTAGGGCATGCCATATTCTACCCATAGAAAAACTAAACACATACACGTTTAAAATAAACATTCATATAGGTAAGATTAGCCAGAAGAGAAGGAGAATGACATGATCAGAATTCCTAGAAATAAATTAATTATAATACAATATATATACATATATATATATATAATGGATCTATGCTATTCAATAAGAATACCTACTGGAATTTTTAATATATCTCCCTTAATTTGAGATACAACAAGTGAAAAAGCGTTAAGTTCGGCCTGGTCGAACTTTGGATACCCTCCACCATAGATATACTTGCAGGTACTTGAAATGAAAATATAGGGAACATACCAAAAATGGACCTATACCTACATTTCTACAAACCGATTATGTAAACAATAATTTTTAATAAAAAATTATACCCTCAGCCTTATGGCTAATTAGTGTGTACGCACTTTCACACGGTGAAAATGTGCCAGATAATTATAAATATTGGTTATGGACTACGTTTCTTTGGACCAAATAATTTTTTCAGAAAAATTTGATTTCATCCCATCTTATTATGTCTTCCAAATTTAGTTCAAGTTCGAATGTGGGGAATATCGGTCCATGCCTTCTGGTACCTTCCACACAGGGGCTACGGCTAAGCATGAATGCGGGATATACTTCACATATAGTTCATTATCGAAGAGTACGTTCTAGTTTTTTATCTCGATATCCTTCGCAGGTGAAATGATTACAACAGAGTGTTAGAACCAAAACCAAAACGCGGAAAAATCAGATTATTATATTAATATAAAAAATGGGGTTATATGGGGACTACGTCTAATAGGGGTTGACTATTAATAATTTTTGGTAGGGAGATTTGTTTCCATATACGGCTACAAAATACCAAATTTCAGTGATTTCGTTTGAAAAAAGCGCTCAAGAACCTCAAAATGCCGAAATTTGGGGGTACCTTTACATGGGGGCTACCAGAAAAAAATGGACTTATATTTATAATTTTTAGAGGAGATATTTGGTACTCAATAAGACCCGAATGTACCAAATTTCAGTGAATTCGGTTGAAAAACGCGCTCAAGAACCTCAAAATACCTTTATATGAGGGGCTACCAGAAAAAATGGACCTATATTAATAATTTTTTGTGGAGTGATTTGAAACCTATTAAGAACTCAAAGTACTAAATTACAGCCAATTCGGTGGGAAAACACGACCAAAACCCCCAATATACTGAAAATTAGAGGTACCGTTATATGGAGGCTACCAGAAAAAGTAGACCTATATTTATAATTTTTTGTGGAGACATTTAGTACCCAATAAGAACCGAATGTACCAAATTTCAGTGAATTCCGTTGAAGAACGCGCTCAAGAACCCCAAAATACCGAAAATTGGGGGGTACCCTTATATGGGAGCTATGTCTAAACGTGGACCGATATATCCCATCTTCGAACTTGACCTGCCTGCAGACAAAAGACAACCCTATGCAAAATTTCAGCGCCCTTCGGAAGATAGCGTGATTACAACAGACGAACAGACGGACATGGCTAGATCGTTTTAGAATTTTACCCTGATCAAGAATATATATACTATATAGGGTCGGAAATGAATATTTCGGTGAGATACAAAGGGAATGACAAAATTAATATACCCTCCATACTATGGTGGAGGGTATAAAAATAATAATATAATAAAAAATAAATTCTAGTATCAATTATTCTCGAAAAATTTTAAAGAATTCTACAAAAATTTCGGTTCGTCCACTCAAAAAATAAGAATATAAGAAGATCCATACGACATTCTACAAGAAGACCTATACGGCCTTCCATAAGAAGACCTATACGGCCTTCCATAAGAAGACCTATACGGCCTTCTATAAGAAGACCTATACGGCTTCTATAAGAGGAAGACATATGTGGCCTTTTATATGAGGAAGACCTATACGGTCTGTCTTCTATAAGAAGTCCTATACGGCCTTTTATAGGTATTAATAAGAACACATATACAAATTTCTATAAGAAGGTTTTTGTTATAAAAATTACACCGGTACGACCTCCTGAAAGAAGGTCAATAAGAAGGCCAGTACGGTTTTCTGTAAGATGAAGAAGATTTATACGAACTTATTAAAGAAGACTTATTCGCCCTTCTATAAGAAACAAGCAGACCTTTATTACCTTCTATAACAATACACCTATACGTAATTCTCTATGAATAGAATGTTCTACATTTTCGCCACAATGAATAAAATTTGGTGCATTTGAATATGCTTTTTAAAAATAGTATAATCATATGCATCGAATAGCTGTCACCGATACAAAGTAAGTATCAGATTATTATTTTAAACTGATTCGAATATCGCAAAATAATGATGAAGTAATCATTTCACTCAAGTAGGTTGATATGTCTAAATATGCAAAAAAATTAAACACATGTCAGTTATTTTTATTTCTAGAGACAAAGAAATGACACATTTATGAAATTGCAATATAAATAGCAGTGGCGATAACTTCGAAGGAGAATTTACAAAAAAAAATGATGAATTGGATCATGTGAAACCACTACGGACCTCTAGAAAGGTCTGTAGAGGTAATGGGTTGCCCTGTAGTGATGCGAAAAAGTAATGAGGGGTCTATAGAGGTCTGTATAGATAATGAGGATCTGTCAAAAGATATGTTAGCTCTATATAGCTGTGTATTGGTAATGAAGAGTTGTGTAAATGCAAAGAGGAGTCCCATAGAGGTCCGTTTAGGTAATGTGGAGATCAAGAGAGGTCTGTGTAGATAATGAGAAGCTTAATACCGTTCCGCAAATGTAATGACGAACTGCATAGATGTATGGATAGGTAAGGTGAAGCTTCATTGAAGTGGGAATAGGTAATAAGAAACTTTATTGGAGGTCCGCAAATGTAATGAGGAGCTCTGTAGTGGTGCAAATAGGTAACGAGTAGCTTTTTAGAGGTATGTAAAGGCAATACAGAATTCTGTAAATGTTGATATAGATAATTATTAGCATTATAGAAGTCCATTAAGGTTTTCAGAAGCTCTATAGAAGTTCGTATAGGTAATGAGGAACCCAATAGAGTAAGGAGGAGTTTTAGGGATAATCAGAAGCATTTGGGTTTCGTAAAAATAATTAGATTCTCCGTATAGATAAAGATTGGCTCCATAGAGGAGAGGTAGGTAATTATGAGCTAGGAGCCAGTAAAGGTCATAAGAGGCTATATAGATGTATTTTTAGATAATCAATGGCTTTTTAGAGGTTCGTATTGGTAATGAGGAATTGCAAGGAGGTTTGAATAGGTAATCAGAAGTTCCATATTAATCCGTAAAAATTAGGAACTCTATGGAGCCCTGTAGAGAGAAGTGAGGAGCTCTATCGAGGGTCGTAAAGATAATAAAGAGCCCCACTTAGGTTGATGAGATTATAGCAGACCGCATAACTATAGATAAAGATGCTTCAAAAAGATCAGACCCTCTATAGAGGCCCGTATATGCAATGTAGACTCTCTATAGTGGTCCGTATATGAGCTCCATTGAGATGAAGGCTCTATATTTGTCCGTATATGTATAATAGACGTTTCATAAAGATCAGAAGCTCAATACAGGCCTGTTTAGGCAATGGAGAACCATTGCTTCTGATCTTTATGAAACATCTAGAGGTGCAAATAAGTAATGGAGAGCTACGGGTCTGTATAAGTAAAGAGGGGGTTCCATAGAGGTGCGAGTGTGTAGTTAGGAGCTTTATAGAGACCCATACAGATAATTAGAAGCCCCATAGAGATCCTTATGGAAAATTAAACGCCTTCTGGAGGTCCGTATTTGTAATGAGGAGCTTCATAGAGTTTCGAATAGGTAATCAGGAGTTCCATAGAGGTCCGTGTACGTTATTATTAGGTATATAGAGGCCTGTAGAGGAAATGATAAGCTCTATAGGTGACCGTAAAGATAATAAAGAGCTCTACTGCGGTTGGTGAGAGGCTCTATAGTAGACGTTGTATCTATACTAGATGCTTTATAAAGATCAGAAGCCCTATAAAGGTCTGTATAGGTAATGAGAGCTCCAAATAATTAATGAAGATCTATAGAGAGGTATGCATTGGTAAAGAAGGGGTCCATAGAGGTAGGTGTAGGTAACGAGGAGGCTTATATATGCCCATAAAGGTAATTAAGAGCTCCATAGAGGTCTTTATAGATAATGAGGGGCTCTCTAGGGGTCTGTATTGGAAATGAAGAATTACATTAAGGTGTGAATAGGTAATGATAAGCTCCATAGTGGTTCGTATAGGCAATTTGAAGCTCTATGGAGGCACGAATAGGTAATGAGGTGTTCTATAAAGGGCCGTAAATTTAAAGAAGAGCTCCACTGAGGTTGGTGTATGTGGTGAGGAGATCTATAGTAGTCTGCATATTCAATGTAGAGATTCATAACGATGTTAGCTGATTTAAGGTATCCTATTGTCGGCTCTTTCCGCTATTTTCCTTTCCTTACTATTTGATTTTAGTTAATTGAAATAAGGTAATTGTTAACACAATGATTCCAATTGTAATTCCAATTTAAATAGGGGACTGCCCAATATTTCCACGGAACACTATCGTAATATGGGCATTATTGACTTATTTTATTAATAAATAAATAATTTAAGTTATCTTGCAAAACCACACAACATATTATATTCCATGTATTACAAGGTAATTTCCCCATATTTCTTCAAACGATGAGTAATAAGTAATACGCATCACAAGATATCTGCTGGTTTACAAGAAAAAAAGTTCACTATAAAAACTTGACACTTTCCAATGGAAGCAATGCATTCGCATTTGTGCTACGCCAAGATGAAGTTCTACGCTGCTGTCATTCTACTATTTGCCCTAACATCACCGGGCTTGGCGAAAATATTCAATCGTTGTTCGTTGGCTCGTGAAATGTTTCGATTGGGTGTACCAAAATCTGAATTACCCCAATGGACTTGTATTGCTAAACATGAATCATCATTCAATACAGCCGCTATAGGTCCAGCCAATACGGATGGTTCTCATGATTATGGCATCTTTCAAATAAATAGTCGTTATTGGTGTCAACCACCGAATGGTGGACATTCTACGAATGGTTGTGGCGTTCAGTGTCGTGATTTGCTTAGCGATAATATTAGTCGTTCGGTAAGCTGTGCCCGAAAAGTAAAATCGCAACAAGGTTGGAAAGCCTGGGCAGTATGGGAAAAATGCAGTGGTAAATTGCCCAGCATTGATGATTGTTTTAAATAAATGGAAAGGGAGTAATATGGAAAAGTAAAGCGGAGAGGAGGGCGGAGAGGAGGAGTGAAGGTGCTGAGGAAGGGAGAGAGGAAAGAAATAAAACATAATCACATATTTTTATTAAACCGTCGACGACGGAGTATAATCAAACTCAACTTTAATACACATAAGTTCACGAAGAATTGTGCGTAAGAGAGAGGCCAAGAGAGAAAAAGAGAGCAAAAAATGGAATAAAGTGAACGCATAGAATACTAATATTATTATCTGAAATATATATGTATATATATCCAATAAAAATATCTTTGTGTATACACAAGCAAAGTTTACCCGAAATTAATAGAACTTTGGTTCAGGCAAGAGGTGGTTCTGAGCAAATCGCAAGGTGGTTCTGAAGCTCGATAAGGAGGATTTCTATAGAGGAATTCGATCATAAAATGCTCCACATTGGAAATGATGATGATGAAATGATGATGAGGAGCATCATATAGGAATTCTATAGAGATCGCAAATAATACTGAAGTAATCATTTAACTCAAGTAGGTTGATATGTCCAAATATGGGCGGAGAATACCGGTGTCAGTTATTTTTATTTCACGAGACAAAGAAATGACACATTTATGATATTGCATATAAATCGCGGCGGAGATAGCTTCGAAAGGGGGATTTACAAAACAAAATGTGAACAAAATGGGTCTTGTGAAACCACTACGGATGTCTAGAAAGGTCTCTATAGAAATCTATACAGGCAATCTCCATGTATACAATGCGGAGCTCTATACATACCCGTATAGGCCATAGGATCTTTATAGAGATTAGTTTAGGCAATAAAAAGCTCTGTCTAGAGGTCAGTATAGATAAGGAGAAAGTTTGTTGAGGTTCAAATAGTTAATGAGGCTCTATAGGCAGTGTGGGACTCCAAATTGGCAATTGGAGACTTTTAGAGGATCGTATGTCTATAGACATCTGTAAAGATAATGGACAGTTCTATAGATATCCGTTTAGGTAATAAGAAACTGTATAAAGGTATGTATAGGTTAGAAGGAGATCTATAGAGTTCCGTATAAGCAATGGGAACTCCATTTTTTATTCCCATTGGTAATGAGGAGCTCTTATGTAACAAAGAAGCCCCTAAATGTTTGTAGGCAATGAAGAGTTTTATAGAGGTTAGTATACACATTGAAGAGCTCCATAACTATGCATGTATGTAATTAAGAGATCCCCAGAGGCCCGTATAGGCAATTATTAGCTCTATAGATCTGTATTTGATGAGGAGTTTACAATAGGTCTCTATAAATGATATGAAATTCTACGGAGATCCAAATAAACACTTTGGTGGTCTTTGAAGGTCAGTATCGGTAATTAGGAATCCGTTTATATTAAGGTCTGTATCGGTAATAAGGGGTCCGTTTAAGTAAAAAGGGACGGTATACTCGTTCGAATAAACAGGTGCGGGATCTGTGAAAAAACTTAAACTTTATAGAGGCTAGTATGGGCAACTGAAGCTCCATAGAGGCCAGTATGGGCAACTGAAGCTCTATAGAGGCCTGCATATCAAATTAGATGATCTGTAAAGGTCTGCATTTGATAAGGAGATCTATAGAGGGCATAAATAGCATAGAAGTGATATGTAGAGATCGGTTTAGTTAATAAAGAACTTCATAGAAATCTATATAAATTATGCGGACCTCCACAGAAGTACAAATAGGTAATGAGGAGTTCCGTAGAGGTCCGTATATGCAATGATATATCCTAGAGAGGTTTGTTTAGGTAATAAGAGGCGCCTCTCTTCATTAGAGATATGGGGCGTTTTCTTATACATAATGAGAAGATCTATAAAGGTTCGTATAGGTTAGGAAAATATTTAAAATTCACCGGAACTTCATAGCATAGACAATTATTAGCTGTGTTCAAGTCAGTATATATACTTAATAAAGTAGTGTATAGTGACCCGCATAGATTATGACAAGCTCTATTGAGGTCCAAATAGATAATGAGCAGCTTTTCAGAGGTTCGTAAAGCTTAGAGGAACTCTTTTGAGGTCCGTATAGGTAATGAGGAGCTCTATAGGTAATACGAAACTCCATAGAGATGTGAATAGGTAATAAGAAGCTTCATGCAGGTCCATTTGTTTAATAAGTAGCAGTAATATGCTCCGTATATATAATCAGTAAGTCAATAAAAGTTCGTAAATTCAATGAAACCCCCATTGAAGTCTTATAGATTTGGAGGAACTTTCTAGATTTCCGTATAGGCATCGAAGAGCTAAATAGAGGCCAGCATAGCTTAGAAAGAGCTCTTTATACCCTTCACCAAACTGTGGTACAGGGTATTATGTCTTTGTGCATATGTTTGTAACATGCAAAAGGAAACGAGATAGACCCATAGTTCCTTTTAAGAATATGCATAGAACCACTTTCTGAGTCGATTTATGCATGTCCGTTCGTCTGTCTGTCTGTCCGTCTGTTGGTGTTAAATTGTAAACAAAGTACAGGTCGCATTTATAATCCGAATTGGATGATATTTGGCACAGCTCATTTGTTTGGCCCAAGGACGAATCCTATTGAAATTGGGAAAAATCGGTTCAGATTTAGATATAGCTCCCATATATATTTTCGTCCGATTTAAGGGATATGGTGCACCAAAGTCCCTATATATCTTTCGATTTGCTCGAAATTTGGTATAGCCTACTGAATTAGGTCTAAAATGATGTGTGCTAAGTTTCGTGAAACCCGGTTCAGATTTAGATATAGCTCCCATATATAGTTTCGCCCGATTTTAGGTAAATGGTGCACCAAAGTCCCTGAAAATCATTTGATTTGCACGAATTTTTACAGGGTGTATTGAATTCAGTCTGGAATGACGTGTGCTAAATTTCGTGAAAATCGGTTCAGATTTGGTTATAGCTAACATATATAGTTTCGTCCGATTTAAGGTAAATGGTGTACCAAAGTCCCTGTATATCCTTCCATTTGCACGAAATTTGGTATAGCCTACTGAATTAGGTCTAAAATGATGTGTGCTAAGTTTCGTGAAAATCGGTTCAGATTTAGATATAGCTCCCATACATAGTTTCGCCCGATTTTAGGTAAATGGTGCACCAAAGTCCCTGAAAATTATTTGATTTGCAGGAATTTTTACATAGTGTATTGAATTCTGTCTAGAATGACGTGTGCTAAATTTCGTGAAAATCGGTTCACATTTAGATATAGCTCCCATATAGTTTTGGCAGATTTTACGTAAATGGTGCACCAAAGTATCTCAAATCTTTTGATTGGCAAGAATTTTGGTATAGCATACTAAATTAAGTCTAGAATGATGTGTACACCTCCTATATATATATTCGTCCATATCCATAGCTAGGCCGATTGACACAACGTACTGAAGTTAATATAAATTAATATCTGGCAGGTTTGCTTGAAATCGGTTCAGATATACATACATCGTAGCTTCCATATATCAATGGGTGTCAGATTGAGATTAAATTTTAAACGACTCTAAACTTACCCAAATGAAATGAAACTTAGCATAGGTTCCAGAAGGACATAAAAATCACATATTTAAGTTCGTTCAATTTCATGTCAAAATTCCTTCGAAAAGGCGACGTCTTTTCGGATACATACGTAGAATATACCTAAAGTGATGAAGGGTATCATATAGTCGGCCCAGTCCGACTTTACTACTTTCCTTACTGGTTAGAGTTACTTAAAGGCAATGAAAAGTTTTGCAGAGGTTCGTTTAGATACTATCGTATATAGTTGTGTTGGTAATGAGGAACTCTTTTGTGGTCGGTATAGATAATTGGGGATTCCAACTTAGCTTTTTATACAGATTTTTATTTATATGTTTTATTACATCAACTAAATTCTCATTTATTTGTATAATCAAATTATTAATTGTATTTATTTCTTTTTTTTCGTTACAGGTAAATATCTCCAAATATATTGAATAAGAGTACAACAAATACAACAGGTATTTCAAATTATAAAATATACAACATTTCTAGTATAATTTTTAGATTCCAAATACTCCTTGTGATGATAAAATTGTTCAAAACAATTTATAATTGTTTATTCAAATATGCACATATTTACAACATAATAATAAGTAGACAAAACACAACAACAACCAAAGGTGGTCCGCATCATTGCATCCATATTTATCCTCAAATAATAAAAAAAAACTTGATTCATTACAACCACCCATTTTAAGATAAACTCTCAGTAAATTTAACACTAATAACAAAAACAATTTAAATTCGTCCTAATGTCATGCACCGCATAGTTTACCATAAGCTCACTATCACTACAGACGGTGACAATGACAATTCCGAAGAATGTGAAAATCAAAACAAAAACATCGACAACGACAACGCCACCACCACCACCACCACCAATCAATCATCCATTTGAATCTCAGCCAAAAAAGGGGTGGGGTGGTTGGAGGAGTGATGATGGACACACAAGTGGTTTGGTCAATATTCAAATGGCCAATACCACTTCAATGTTTTCATGTCAATAAAAGGATTAACGCAATTTTTTTTATAGATTTTCACATTTTTATGGTTACATTTGACACTCTATTACATAGTTTTTTTTTCAATTTTTTTTTTTCGTAAAGTAATGAAAAAACATGGGCCCATTAAAGGTGTTGAGCGTCGAAGTGAAATTAAAATTGCTTCGACATTTAAAGGTTATGTTGGACATCAATGAAAATTTTGTAATATCAATAATAGATTTCAACTATATTAGGGTTAAGTGTCTACGAAGTGGATGGCAAAGTCGGGGAGGCTCAATTACTTGAAGACAATAATAAAATGTTAAAAATAATTTTGAAATTTGACAGGCGAGCTATAATAAGTTTTAATTTATTTATTTGCGGTAAATGTTAAACACAACTTTGAGAATAATAATTGTGAAATATTATTTGAAAGTGGGGAGCTCCATTAAAGTCCGAATAGTTAATAAGAAAATCTGTGAAAGTCGGTGAAGGTTATGAGGATGCTTCAAAGAGGTCGTTACAGGTACTGAGCGTCTGTTCAAAAGTCTATAAGGTACTGATTATCTCTATTCAGGTCCATATAGGCACTGAGGCTCTTACTAACGAAATACATAGGACATGAGCTGTATTGAATTCCCTTTATGTAATGAGGAGCCCAATATAGGTCACAATGGGTTTGGAAGAACACTATAGGGGTCCATATAGCCAATAAGGAACACCATAGATCACTGTATAAATGATTAGTGGGAAGATTATGAAAGAAATGTAATTGTGGTGACTTAAAAAATGTTGTGAACCAGTAAATTGTTCGTATATGTTGTGAGAAACTCCATGACCTATACGAACATGACCAGTGAAGGTCTTGAGGAGATCTTTGAAAGTCCGTGTATGTAATGGGGAAGCACCATAGATGTCGGTACATGTGTTAGAATCTCTTAACAAGTCCGTATATGCACTGATTATCACTATTGAGATGCTGTAAATAGTTCGTATAGGTCATGAGGTTCATATAGGTAATGATAAGCGCTATAAAGGTAGTTCATATAGGTCATATATGTAATTTTAAGTTATATAAAGGTCAGTATAGCTAATGATGGGATCTATACAATGAAGAAGCTTTAAAGGGGACAATACAGGTATCGAGGACCTCTAAAGGGGTCTGTATAGGTACAGATTATCGCTATTAAGGTCCATATAGGTACTAAGAACTCTATAAAATCCTCAGAGGTACTAAATAATTCTATCGTGGTCCGCATTCCATATATGTAATGAGGAGCTCCATATATGTAATGCTGAGCTTTCAATAGGTAATGAGGAGCTCCATAAATGAGAAACTCTGTAGAGGTCCATATAGTTGAGGAGAATGTGTATAGAGTTATATGGTAATAAGAAGCTCTATCGGACCAATCTGTCATAACGACCAAAAAAAACTCAGGGTCCTTATTTGGAAATTACCCCAGCCGATTTTTAGGTATTTGTCAGTCTCTAAATTTTGATTTCTCACCCTTCATAGGTGCATCTAGTTGGCATAGTCCCTTTATGTTAGAGTTTTTGATGTTTCTGGCAATATTTTGGTAACCATGTGTACATTCCATGTTCTCGGAGGGTAAAACAATCTCCTCCAACCATCACTTAGCCTATTATAGGTCCCAACAGCATTTTCTTTTCGATTGTTTCATCTTGTCATATCTTGATTTTCAGAAGGAGAAAAAAAGTTCATAGCAAAGGCCCCTGCAGATATGAAGTTTTAGGGTCTTGATCGCATTTTATAACCGAATTTTTGTTGTAATCTTCCATGTGTACGTAATATCACATTCGGAGTGTAAAACAACCTCTTCAAATACCACTTAGCCCATTCTATTTTGTATAAATTTGTCATTCTGGATTCTCCGAAGGAGAAAATGATCCTAGCATAGGCACATGGAGGTATGAAGTATTAGGGTCTATAATTTTTCAGTTAAAACTCTGAATGGATCAAAGACTTCCTTGAAATAACATTAGTTAAGGTATTGAATTAACCCGCCATTAAAGGGGCCTGTCTATATTTTTTAAGGCCGAAGTTCACTTAGCCCCCCTGATTCCGCTTGTCCGCTTTTTTAATTTTCCATTTGCATTTTCAAGTGACTAGGACTTTCACTTAAAATTTTGAATGCATTTAAATCTTCTTAGGATAAAGTGTTCAAAATAGGTCGTCATTTTGAATAGACAATATGGATCCATGCTTTCACTTAGCCCGCACATTTTATTCCTTGCAATAATATGAGCTCAGAAGCCCCATTTAACGGCTTCTTCTAAAAGGCCCTAGTCGTATTTTCTTACCGCTGTACTTTCAGAATTCTCGGTGGGTTTAGAACTTCTTAAGAGAAGGTGCTCAATATAGATCTTCATTTTGAATAGAGGATATAATTCCATGTTTTCACTTAACCCCTTCCATCCCGCTCCATTTTAGGTGTCCATCTCATTTATTTTAAGATTTGGATATTTTACAGAAATTCAGTTGGTACCTTTATATATTTTATCGGAATTATAACACTAGACCGACAAATTGAAATAAACCCCAAACTTTCACTTTCAATACCCCCCACCTAAAACCTCTTTAAAATAAAATATGTAGAACTAAAAAAAAATCCTGCGCCCAACGTGGGGCTCGAACCCACGACCCTGAGATTAAGAGTCTCATGCTCTACCGACTGAGCTAGCCGGGCATATGTCCACACATACCACATACAAACTATCGCAATAATATTCCAAGAATAAAACAATCTCTTAGAATAAGGGAAGATAACACATTCCATAGAACAAGAATAACACGCATTAATTATAAACTATACCGCCCACGGTGGTTGTGACCTCTTCAGATGTTGAAAAAATAAAACAAACACACACAAACGCATATGAGGTACCTCTTCTTGCTATCACCATAGGGGCCAATGTATAGAGAACACAAACGTACACACACCCATTCTCCTCGATGTACCCACCTGCATATAGGGAGGAGATGAATTTATTTCTCCTATTTATATAAACATGAGCTGTTTTTTTTCGCTCGCTACGCTTGGTGTATTTTTACAACATGGGAAAATTAAAAATAAAATTTGAGAATAGCCAAATGAATGAATTTCCAACAAAATCCCAAGAATATTGTGGCGGCTAAGACAATGGGAAAGAAAAGAAACACGTAGCAAACTAAGAACAAAAACAACGACAACAACAACAGCAACGATGATGTAGACATTTTTTTAACTGACAGCTAACAACATGTCAAAAATCACTGAAGTTTGAAAATACATGCGGTAAGTCAGACTAACAAACAACAAAAACAATAACAACAAGAACACACTAACATGAAAAACAATCATAGTAACATGAATAATGACAACGAAAGTAAAGGGAATGCCCCCATACCTCACCACAACCGACCAGATCGCTAGATCTAGAGTGCAAAGTTCTTGCGATCAAGTTGTTGGCGGTATTGTTGTCGTAGGGTCTTCGACCGTCATCGATAAGACGGTTTGTAAAATGGTTTGTGGTTGATGGTGGTTGTTGTTGTTGCTGTTGTGTGTTTGAATGACTGATATCGTATTTATTTGTATGATAAGTCATGCCTTATGACTTTTACAACGTAAATAGTTGACAATTACAATAACAATAAAAATAATAAAAACAAAACTCGTGTGTGGCAGATAGGGGTTTACAAATAAATGTAAAAAATATTGAGATAGGTTAGTAATGGTAAAAAAGGTTTCCTATCTGCGGGAGGGTATTTCTGCTAAATAATATTTTCTGGTATTTGGAAAATATTTTTTAAAGGGAATGGGGCCGACTATATTAATAACTATAACACTATTAGTATATGCCGCAGGTTTTGATAGAAAAAACTTCTATTTATCCACCCTATGTACAAAAAATAGTGGCACAAAACAACTCCTACTCCCATAAAACATCTATCGATAATGTTATACTTTTTCACTCTAACTCTTCATCCAACCTCATTTTTGAAAACAAAGGACCAATAGTGTTGTTGGGTTGTCTCGGAAACAACATGTTCGAAGGAACTATTCCTTTCGATCCAATTGTTCATTTTTGCTCTCGTTCACCTAATTTCTTTAGATCCATTATTCATTTAGGTCTGCCCGTTCATTGACCGTATTAACAGAACGAACTATTGAACTAAAAGGATCTATGGATTTAAATGTATGATCTAGTTAACTCTGAGGAGAGAAACGAAAAAAATCGTTAATTCAGATTATATTTCGATTGAATTTATCATGATTTCAGGAACCCAATCAACAAACGCACGAAGTTTTTTGACTTGAAAGAACCGAATTCTATAAGCTTTCGAATCCTATTCTTTATTCAAAAAAAGGTGTTGTGTCTTCTGTTGAATCTCCAGTTCCGAAGAACGACAAGGAATGTATAAATTTGAGTTTTCTGAAACATTTTGGGCTATAGCTGCAATATTCCCAGTTGTTCTAGTCCCAACCATCTTGGAATTTTCCACCAAAAGTTTTAAAGAGTGTATCGTTTCATTCAAAAAATAAAAGCTTCGAAAATCACAGCTATTTAAGAGAGAAAAGAGTTCGCCATATTTAAAATAATTAACCGATGTGGCTATAAGTTCCAAGTTCCGGGGTTCATGTTTTGACCAGTTGTAATTCACATCTCGATTTCTCAGACATGACAAAAATCTCTTTTCAGATAGTTTTTAATTGTTGAAAGTTTGATGATCATAACCGCATTTTTTTATACCCCACACAACTATGATGTCAGGGTATTATAGGTTTGTATGGCCCCAAGAATTTGAAAAGCCGCGAAATATTGGTTCTAGACCCACTTTTTAGTATACCAATCATGATATTTCGACTTGCTGAGTCGATCTAGACGTGTGTGTCCGTCCTTTCATTTGTCCGTCGACCCATTATAATTTGTA